ATACAGCAATAGAGAATGGCAATCAGCTATAGAGGACTACAGATCCCGTCAATCCATGATTGCTGGTTGCCATTTTCCATTGGGGAAAGGGGGGGTTGGCAGGGAGGGGGGCACACTGGGGAACCTGGCCTTGGGGCAGCAGAGAGAGTAAATGCAGGCCCTGGGTGTCCATATCTATTGGTCACATAGTGTTCCATATTCCAGCTCTTCAAGGTGCACAGTTGGCACAGCAGACTCTTCCGAAATGGTGGTGGCCATCCTCAACGTAAGACAATTTGCAGATGATATACTGTATGTCAGAGCCGTAGCTCGCTCCTTTTGCACCGGAGGCAAGAGCAGAAAATTGTACCCTGTGCTTCCCATTAGAACAAGGGCGAGGGGCCGCAGCCAGGCCGGCCCTGGCTGCGACCCCTCTCAGCTGCGCCTGAGGCGAGTGCCTCACTCGGCCCATGGCAGCTACAGCCCTGCTGTATGTGTGTGTATGTTACATGAAGTTGTTTTTGTATATATTTCCTACCCCAGTACATATCAAATGAATATTCACACATGCAGTGTAGGAACAGATGGTTTATCTTCCTCCGATCCAGAGCTGGCCTTCAGAGCCCTCGGCCACAGAGGAACAATTTCCGTGTATCTAAAAGGAGTAACTTTGTGTTCTCTGGAATTGTGAATTTGGCTCAGCTTGCTGCGGATGTTTTTGGCACATTCATCTTTCGCCGGTTCACACGTCAGCACCAAACTCTTGCCAGGAAATTTGCCGATGTGAATCTCATTTTGGCGCCGCGGGTTGTCACTTTTTAACACGAGCATCAGGGCCAGGCGGGCCAAACATGTGGCAGATCTGGAAGTTTTTTTCCTTTGGCTTTCAATCAAATGAGAAAATGGATTTGAAAGGTACTCAGCGATCTTTTAGGGCTGAGGGATCATTTTAGGGTTTGGATTAAGTGTCAAGTTTGAGTTAGATGATAAGATAAATAAAAATTGAAAAAAAGTTTAAAAAAATAACAAATTGATAAAGTTAAAAAAAGAAGGGAAGGACGGAGGTCAGATGTACTAAGGCCTGAAGCTGACCTCCCTCCTTCCCTTCAGTCTTCTATCTGACCTCCGTCCTTCCCTTGAGTCTCATATCTGACTTCCGTCCTCCCCTTCAGTCTCATATCTGACCTCCGCCCTTCCCTTCAGTCTCATATCTCACCTCCGTCCTTCCCTTCAGTCTCATATCTCACCTCCGTCCTTCCCTTCAGTCTCATATCTCACCTCCGTCCTTCCCTTCAGTCTCATATCTCACCTCCGTCCTTCCCTTCAGTCTCATATCTCACCTCCGTCCTTCCCTTCAGTCTCATATCTCACCTCCGTCCTTCCCTTCAGTCTCATATCTCACCTCCGTCCTTCCCTTCAGTCTCATATCTCACCTCCGTCCTTCCCTTCAGTCTCATATCTCACCTCCGTCCTTCCCTTCAGTCTCATATCTCACCTCCGTCCTTCCCTTCAGTCTCATATCTCACCTCCGTCCTTCCCTTCAGTCTCATATCTCACCTCCGTCCTTCCCTTCAGTCTCATATCTCACCTCCGTCCTTCCCTTCAGTCTCATATCTCACCTCCGTCCTTCCCTTCAGTCTCATATCTCACCTCCGTCCTTCCCTTCAGTCTCATATCTCACCTCCGTCCTTCCCTTCAGTCTCATATCTCACCTCCGTCCTTCCCTTCAGTCTCATATCTCACCTCCGTCCTTCCCTTCAGTCTCATATCTCACCTCCGTCCTTCCCTTCAGTCTCATATCTCACCTCCGTCCTTCCCTTCAGTCTCATATCTCACCTCCGTCCTTCCCTTCAGTCTCATATCTCACCTCCGTCCTTCCCTTCAGTCTCATATCTCACCTCCGTCCTTCCCTTCAGTCTCATATCTCACCTCCGTCCTTCCCTTCAGTCTCATATCTCACCTCCGTCCTTCCCTTCAGTCTCATATCTCACCTCCGTCCTTCCCTTCAGTCTCATATCTCACCTCCGTCCTTCCCTTCAGTCTCATATCTCACCTCCGTCCTTCCCTTCAGTCTCATATCTCACCTCCGTCCTTCCCTTCAGTCTCATATCTCACCTCCGTCCTTCCCTTCAGTCTCATATCTCACCTCCGTCCTTCCCTTCAGTCTCATATCTCACCTCCGTCCTTCCCTTCAGTCTCATATCTCACCTCCGTCCTTCCCTTCAGTCTCATATCTCACCTCCGTCCTTCCCTTCAGTCTCATATCTCACCTCCGTCCTTCCCTTCAGTCTCATATCTCACCTCCGTCCTTCCCTTCAGTCTCATATCTCACCTCCGTCCTTCCCTTCAGTCTCATATCTCACCTCCGTCCTTCCCTTCAGTCTCATATCTCACCTCCGTCCTTCCCTTCAGTCTCATATCTCACCTCCGTCCTTCCCTTCAGTCTCATATCTCACCTCCGTCCTTCCCTTCAGTCTCATATCTCACCTCCGTCCTTCCCTTCAGTCTCATATCTCACCTCCGTCCTTCCCTTCAGTCTCATATCTCACCTCCGTCCTTCCCTTCAGTCTCATATCTCACCTCCGTCCTTCCCTTCAGTCTCATATCTCACCTCCGTCCTTCCCTTCAGTCTCATATCTCACCTCCGTCCTTCCCTTCAGTCTCATATCTCACCTCCGTCCTTCCCTTCAGTCTCATATCTCACCTCCGTCCTTCCCTTCAGTCTCATATCTCACCTCCGTCCTTCCCTTCAGTCTTCTATCTGACCTCCGTCCTTCCCTATCGGCAGAGCCCCGTTCACATGACCAGGCACAAGAGGGACATGGAATCAGCTTTATTATAAGATATAAAAGATGTATTGAAGCCGACCTTTACCCCCTTTCACAAAAAAAATCCCCCCAGCATGCAGCTCTGAACGCTAATATACAATCATATGACATTCATTAGTTATAAATACATGTTTTCTATTTACTTACAAATAGAGTTCCTCCACCTCCTGATCCTCTTTGGCACAAATGATGTCATGTGTCCAAGCGTTGCATGCTGGGAAGGTTACATCAGCAGAGCATTGCTGGGAAATCTCATCTGTAATCTTGCGAGATCTCAGGGAAAGGCATTTTCCTCCCCTGAGATGATGTCCTAGTCACATGTCCTAGTCACATGTGCCAGAGTTCCAGGAAGTAAAGGGAGATGGATTCATCTGCCCTTAGTAAAAATGGCCGCTGTGAGAAGACTGGGGAGGGAAAGAGAAATAAGGAATGCAAAGCATACAAAGCCGGGAATGATCTCGAAGTATCTGATTGTAGATTGTCATCACTAAACATTTCTAAAGGTGCCTTTGTTTTGATCTTCAAGATCTGGGTAAGGCCTCGTTCACATCAGACACAGTGCATCCCGGCCCGATTCTGTCCAGAACGCACTGCATCGCATTGCGGCCGGCTCACCATGTTGTGGGGCAGGAGGGGGCGTGGAGGTGCAGTGAACTGAATGGCACCGTAGCCACGCCCTCTGGCCGCAATGCGATCGGCTGCACGGGAACGCAAGGCACATTGTGCCTGCAGTCCGGTCCAGTCTGAACAAAATGCTGCAAGTACCATTTTGTTCGGACAGGACCGCGGGCATAATGTGCCTTGCGTTCTCGTGCGGCCGATCGCATTGCGGCCGGAGGGCGTGGCTACGGTGCCATTCAGTTCATGGCCCGCCACGCCCCTTCCTGCCCCACTAAAAAGTAAACCGGCCGCAATGCGTTGCAGTGCGTTCTGGCCAGAATCGGGCCGGGACGCACTGTGTCTGGTGTGTTTGAGACCTAAAGGTCCGCTGTAATATTTCATGATAGGTCCGCATCAATTATCAAGAGGATCAAAAGGGAAGTTACAAATTCTACACGTAAACTAGAAAGCACCATTTAAAGAGAACCAGTCACAACTGGGTCAATGTGAGAATCTTTGGAGTCAATCTCTCAGATTGCAACATTGTAACTTTGTAGCGAGTTACAAGGTGAGAGGCTGCAGCAGGGGCTGATCTGTGCCAGGCATTTGTGAACACGGGCAACAGAATTTACAAGACTGCATCATCTCTGGCCTGGCATCTCAGTCCAGGAGGATGCCTGACCTAAGGTGACGCCACCATGAAGGAAAAACAAAGATGGCGACATTGTTGGAGGGAGTCCTGCGATAGGAAATAAATACCTGGAACACATTACTTAACATGACCTGATGACTGATCCACTTTAAGACTAAAGATGTGAGATCCTCACATAAGTTTAAGTGTGACCGGTTCTCTTTAAGGCCTCGCACTGATTGGGCCTCAAGCTAATACTTATATGAACGAGTCAGTTTATTGTTACATCAATCCACAGGAAGGTTTTCTTTTCTCTTTCATATGTATAAAAAAAAGGAAAGTCTGTACAACAATGGCTCCTCCTAAGCTCCGCCCCCGCCGTGCCTGTCCAGAGGTTTCCGGTGTACGATTTGTTGTGCAGAGAGGAAGTCTGTACAGCAGTGGCTTCTCCTAAGCTCCGCCCCCGCCGTGCCTGTCCAGAGGTTTCCGGTGTACGATTTGTTGTGCAGAGAGGAAGTCTGTACAGCAGTGGCTTCTCCTAAGCTCCGCCCCCGCCGTGCCTGTCCAGAGGTTTCCGGTGTACGATTTGCTGTGCAGAGAGGAAGTCTGTACAGCAGTGGCTCCTCCTAAGCTCCGCCCCCGCCGTGCCTGTCCAGAGGTTTCCGGTGTACGATTTGTTGTGCAGAGAGGAAGTCTGTACAGCAGTGGCTTCTCCTAAGCTCCGCCCCCGCCGTGCCTGTCCAGAGGTTTCCGGTGTACGATTTGTTGTGCAGAGAGGAAGTCTGTACAGCAGTGGCTTCTCCTAAGCTCCGCCCCCGCCGTGCCTGTCCAGAGGTTTCCGGTGTACGATTTGTTGTGCAGAGAGGAAGTCTGTACAGCAGTGGCTTCTCCTAAGCTCCGCCCCCGCCGTGCCTGTCCAGAGGTTTCCGGTGTACGATTTGTTGTGCAGAGAGGAAGTCTGTACAGCAGTGGCTTCTCCTAAGCTCCGCCCCCGCCGTGCCTGTCCAGAGGTTTCCGGTGTACGATTTGATGTGCAGAAAGGAACGCCACGAAAACGTGGAAGAGGATTTGCCAGGCGTTGCGCAGTCCATATAAATACGTGTTACACAGGCCGATCACGAGGACCAATCCCAAGGCTTTCCCAGTCCGGGCCGGAGAGTAGAAGAGATACAGGTAACACTGCAAAGGAAAAGGGGAAAAAGAGGCGTTACATGTGACACGAGGGCGGCCGTCTTATTGGCTGGAGGAGCAGGACAGCTGTGGGAGGAGTGTGGATGTAGATTGTTACAAAGTATAATCAGATGATAGAAAACAATTCCACTTTTATTTCACTATTGTTATTACAGATCTCCACTCCCAGGACAGCTGTCTGAGGTTCTGATTGGCTCCCCGCTTCACATCAGAGCCTCCCATTTACATCAGGAACCCCCCTCCCCCCCGTCAAATCAGAGCCTCCCATTCACATCAGGAACACCCCTTCACATCAGAGTCCCCCCATCAAATCAGGAGCCCCACCTTCACATCAGAGTCCCATTTCACATCAGAGACCTCCCTTCACATCATAGTTCTCCCTTCACATCAGGAAATCCGCCCCACCTTCACATTAGAGTCCCCCCTTCGCATCAGAGTCCCCCTTCACATCAGAGTCCGCCATCAAATCAGGAGCCCCTCCTTCACATCAGAGGCCCCCCTTCGCATCAGAGTCCCCCTTCACATCAGAGTCCGCCATCAAATCAGGAGCCCCTCCTTCACATCAGAGGCCCCCCTTCGCATCAGAGTCCCCCTTCACATCAGAGTCCGCCATCAAATCAGGAGCCCCTCCTTCACATCAGAGGCCCCCCTTCGCATCAGAGTCCCCCTTCACATCAGAGTCCGCCATCAAATCAGGAGCCCCTCCTTCACATCAGAGGCCCCCCTTCGCATCAGAGTCCCCCTTCACATCAGAGTCCGCCATCAAATCAGGAGCCCCACCTTCACATCAGAGTCCCTCATCACATCAGGAAATCCCCCCCACCTTCACATCAGAGTTCCCCAATCACATAAGGAAATCCCCCCCACCTTCACATCAGAGTCCCCCCTTCGCATCAGAGTCCCCCTTCACATCAGAGTCCCCCTTCACATCAGAGTCCCCCTTCACATCA